GGAGTGAGACCGGGGCCATGAAAGAGAGGTATCTGGAGACGTGATGGGTGGAGCGTCAGGGAAAGACCTGAATGAGAGTTGAGAGTGTGTCCAGTTGGGTTACATCACCACAGTGTGACCTTTGAGACCTACAGGTGGTTCGAGGAGTCCGGAGAAACAACCCCAAAATTCACACCCTATTCACATACACACACACACATACACACACATACACTCACACATTCACATTTACATATAGATACATGAAAAAGCAGAACATGAGAAAAAAGCATTTTAAAAGTTTACTCCAATGTAAACACATATTTTTAATTGTCTATCACTTGAATCTTTAGTTGAATCAGTATTTTTTGAGACCAGAAATGTTCATTTGAATTCTATATTGTCATGGACATAATTGACGTCTGTCCTGACACTTTTGATTTGTTGATTTTGTACTGTGTGAAGTAATTACATTGATTAGAATTAGATCTGATAAAAACACAAATTAGAGAAGTAAACTGCGCTTGCTTTTTGTCTGAGGGACAGAAGCAACAGCATGAATAGAAATTGTCTTTAAAGTAGAATCAAAGTGACTTAACCATAGAAAGTAACTACTGCATAACAAGCTGTGTACAGGAACTGAGACACTGCACCATTGACCAGAAGTGCATCGCAAATGACCTGATGTGCTTCAACTGAAAAGACTGTATCTGGAGATCCTGATGTGCATCTGGAGAAACCAAACCATGGCTTGGACCCTACTGATGTCCAAGATGACATCTCTCTATGACCTGACCTGATGACGACTGAGACTCACCCTCAGGGGACCCTGAGGACCTGAGGACCTGAGGACCTGAGGACCTGAGGACCTGAGAGAAAAAACTGGGGAGTGATGTTTATATTTTTGAAATCATACATTGATGAGTGCTAAATGAGAGAGATACTCATGATTCTTTCTTTTGTTTTTGTTTGTCCCTAGCTTCTGGACATCTGATGATCTATTGGACACAGCCATTTGCAGAACAAGAACCAGCCAATGAAAACGTCTATTGCCGATGCTATTGCTACAACCAGAAACTGTGACCAAATGCAATATACATGTTAAGTATTCAGACATCTGACAGACAAAAACTTTGACTTTTTTAGTCTGGGAGACTGAGCAACTGTTAAAATGTTTTAAAATGATAAAGTATGAGTATTGTAGCGTTTTAGTAGATGTTAAATAGTAGTAAAAAAGTAGAATTTGACTTCCTTTGTTGTTCATAAACACATTTCCACGTAAGAGTTAAAATAGTACCCTACAATGTTATCCTTTTGATAGATCAGCTAAAATATTAGAATCAGAGTTATGTTACAGCCATTAAAAGTGACAGAAGTCACAAATTAGAAATATGCCTTTGCTCAAACTGCAGCCAAACTTTAGAGTCACAGTAGAGTAGAAATAGAATTAGGTAAATGCATCAACCATAGATGCTTTCAAAAATAGAGATTATTTGTAGCCAGTGCTAATATCAAATGGTAAAGGGACCATTTCACAAACATTTACTTCAGAAGTAGATAAAGTTAATTACAGTTTATGTACAGTTTTATTAGATACTTGCCAAATTCACTTGTGTTCAAACATGAGTGAATGTTGACAATACAAAAAGTCCATATGAGTGTAGTCTAGATTAATGCCTAGATTAATGAGATAGATTAGAACCAACAGAGATTCAAAAGCATTTTGATGTATTTGGGTATAGCCCACTGTCGATTCATCAGAACAGATTAGAGAATCAAACACCATTGTAGACCCCAACCCCAAACCTGCTAAAATAGATTAGCTCTTGTAAGGATAATACTAATTTGATTAATGATGTTCATTCATCCCAAACTGCCTGACAATAATATCTTTAGATAATAAAAAGTAATAAATCACTGACCACTATAGAAGTGTAAATGTTGACCATTTGCCTTACTGTGTTCACAGTTTTATTCCTGAGAATGAGAATAGACATAGAGCAAAGCCACTGATAATAAGCCACTGATAATGAAAGTAAACCACAGAGAGATTTATTAGATTAAAATGTATGTTTAAGAATATGGCTCAATAGAAGCAAATATGCAAACATATTTGTGAATAGATTAGAATAGTTTTAAACTATAGTGAATAGTAAAAGTAAAGTACACAGTCTAAGATTAAATAGTGAAAATAATAGTGAAATAAGTGTAGTGTAAACAATCAGCATTAGAATAAAAGTATAGAGTAAGAAAAGTGAAATTAGCTTCAAATTTGAGACTCAGCTCGTTTTTGTCTGTGTTTTGACTGAATCTGCTGAGTTCTTGTGTGTCCAATAGTGTTTGTTTGTTTTTTATTTTTGATTTGTTTTTTGTTTGTTTATTTACTTTATTTTTGTTTGTTTGTTTTTTCCCAGGATAGAGGATAAAATCCACTGATATTGATTTGATGATTATGAGTTTAATGCATACATTTTCTTTGTTTTTAATAATTTTTTTAAGTTTTTTTTTAGGAATTTTTTTTCTTTTTTTCCACTTTATTGATTGATCAAATTGAGTGATCACATGTGATTATGTGATCAAAGGGGAGGGTATTAGTATTAGATAGCAATATGGCCTACGTGCAGGACTGTACAAGGACTCTACAAGGACTCCATGTTATGACTATGATGTGACTGTCTCTTTGTGACACGTATGTCTTTCGATGTGTGACGTGACAATGACTATATAAACTGTGTACTTCCTTTATTCTGTCTGAGAGAAAGAAACAGAGTAAACCAGTGGAACTTGAGAGAAACTTAAATAAACTTCCAGAGTTTGGCGCACCACGATCCGTCTCTGTCTGCTTGAATCCTAACACTATGATTACAATTCTTGTGTTTGAACTCTTTAATTCTCTGATCTGTGTTGGAGAATTTGACGTTTTTGTAATGTCCTCCGAGATAAATATTGTTGTGATTTAGGGCTATACACAAATATATTTAATTGAATTGAAGTACAACCTATTCAACATAGTCATGTATTGTAACCGTCTGGATAAAAGTGGATTTTGTCAATAATAAATATAAAACTACTGGCAAAAGACATGAAGAGGAGGTATCTCTTCACTTTTCTTTGTGTTTTTTACTTGTTGAGCTCCATTCACTCCTTTGAACTTTGAGACAGAACACTGGACAAAAATAACGGTCAGAAGATAATACATATCTCAAGGTTTAACCTTTAAATGTGTCATATGGATTTTGAAGCATATTGTATCTTTCATATCTGCTCCGTATCATGTTGTGCGCCTCTTGACGTCCATTGTTTTGATATAATTCTGTGTTCTTTCTGGACGATTGTGTGAGAGTCCCTGTTGTCTCTGTTTTGTTTGTGAGTTAAATCTGAACATCGCTATTGAGTATTGTTGTACATAAGAGTAATTCATAATAAACAAACTCCTTGTACCAACATTAGAGTTTTAACAGTGGGTGGATAATGTTGTTTGCGTTTCCAGAGAAAAGGGAAACAGTGATGACTTCAGGACAGACGCCCTCATTTAATCTTCTTTCCATAGTTTTATTGCAGATGTTTTCAACCCTCTTGTGTTTTGTATCGAGCTCAGATTTAGCAGATATCTTGTTCCATACGAGAAATTAATAATGTATAACATTCCAGACTAAACTCTTCAGAGGGTGACTGAGGAAAGAGAAACTTTTAGGAAAGAAATACTAAATCCATGTACTTTAATTGTACCTACAATATTTCTGTTTGCAATAATGTTGATGAATAATAAATGAGGTAATGAGTAATGAGGTTTCAGACAAAACTGAGATGAATTGAATTCCTATACTCCTAAAACATGAAGAATATATTTGGGCTATTTTATCTACATCTTAATTTCAACAGATTAGTTATAATTCATCTTGAAAATTCAAATAAAAAAGGAATCTAAGTAAATGATATGTCTCCAGTCTTCTTCTTTTTCTTCTATGCTGCTGTGAGTAAGCTCAATGCTATCCCTGTCATCCCAATATTTACTTTGTTTTGTTTCCAGAAGTGGGAGGGGATCATGCTGTGGTTCAAACACTGACAGTTTAGGTTTAGAGTTACATTAATAAAACAGAATGGCAGTGAATTATGTCAGACATGTCATTTGAATGTTCAATTCATTATTTGCTTATAATTGCCATAGTCTGATCTGGTCAGACCTCAGGGCAGGGCCTGGTTTTGTGCCGTGATGGGAGACCACTGGGAGCAGCAGGGGCCACAGTGGGACAGCTGAGGCATAAAGGGCAAACTGTTGTTATGTCTTCAGGTTGAGTCTGCAGACTGCAGCCTCGCTTCTGCACCATGTTTGTGCGATAGTGATGCCGATACTTTGACTATCGTCTGCTGAAACTGGTGAAGGGATGTAAATTAGCTTTGCATTTCTTCTTAGCTTTGCATTTCTTCTTATTATAACATGAGTCCAATTGTGTCATTTAACAAGTATTTGTATGAGGTTCAACATAAATGTCTCAATACAAGAAAAGTCCAATCAGGGTATTGCATGGATCTATAATAGGAGTATTGGTGTAATCGACTCTAGTCTGTGTGCAAAGTTAAATAATTTTTTGTATGACCATGTAAAAAAAGGTATTTCCCGGAGTTGGTGAATAAAATAAGAAACAAATCTCAAACCACAATTAAATCCATTCTTAACATGATAATACAAAATAGATATTTGATACCAGTAATGTTTTGTGCAACCCTACTTGTGTCAGTACGCGCTATAGGCAGCTGTGGCTACAGCAAGTTACCACCAAATATGAAGTGAATTGATAATCATGTAAGAGTGTTTTAGTGTGAAGAAGAGCCCTATATAAATCAGATGATGCATCATGATTATATTGTAAGTCAATGTTCATTCCTTTGAGGAGAAAGCACGTGGAGGTCAACTACAGGTTGGTGACTGAAGGGAGTACTAAAGCTGAAAAGTGGATTAGAACATGGGCTGTTGTGAACTCAGGACTGGTGGTGTATGTTCCAAAGGAGTAATTGCAAAGATGAACAGTCACCACCACAGGCAGCACACCCGCGTCCCCCCCCCCCCCCTCATCCTCCTCTCTCTCATCCATCCGAGTAGCAGCCCCTTCCTCTCTCCTCTGCCTCTGCCTGTACCTCTGCTTTGCCTCTGCCTCTGCTTGTGCGTCTACGCCGGGCTGAGGAGGACAGGACGGCCGCATCCACCGGGACTGCCCTGGCCTCAGACGCTCATGGACCCGGGCTGAGAGACGCGCTTCTGCAGGAAAAGATCCAGTGACAGTAAGTAAACGACGCGCAGAGGCATGAGACCAGAAAGTGCATCATAAGAACCTGTTGTTTGTTCAGTGTTTGGCAACGCGCTGTTTCACATGTATTCTGCACGTACAGCCATTTACAAACTACGTGAAAGCGCACGTACGGAGAGAGGTTGTGTTTTCTCCCTTCTTTCTCCGTGACGCTGGAGACGCTTATTAATTTTGCTCACGCGTCGTTTTGTGTGTTTTCCTCATGGTTTTTCTCCGCCAGTGTGACGTTTCCGGGAATCTGTTGAACGTCTAGCAGCTCTATAAGGTTAATTGATTATTGGGCACTTTGCGGCCAGTAATAAGTCGCAGATTTATGATCCATTTAGGGGCTCAACGGTAAGGGTAAGTACAGTCCGCTCAGAGCCATTCACCGGAACACGATGCAACAATGGGGACTGCAGCGTGATATTAACTGCAAGTCAATTATCCTCGTTCATTTTGATTTACACAAGCGAAGAGGTCGAGAGCGCCACCTACAGTACGAGGCGAGAAGCGTGCCTGTGGTCACTAACACCAGTCTATCTTTTCACACATTTATAAATAGTGAGAAAACAGGCCTCATTACACCCCTAAAGGAGCAAGAGAGAAAGTCAGGCTTTTGTCCGTGTTCCCAAAGCATTTTTGCATTTGGACTCAAGTCAATGCTCTTATCGATTGAAACGTTTATTTAATTTCCCTGCCCACTGTTGGTCTTGGGGAATGTAATAAGGGAACACTGATCAGCAGCTACATGCTCAGAGGAGGATGCGTCAGGTGTACAGCAGTGAGGCGAAGCAGCTTTACATTATCACCAGGTTTTAAACCCTTTTGTTCTTTAAATCATGTAAAACCAGCTCACACATTACTTTGTATCTATATCTTTGTTTTGATACATAGGCTCCACAGTTTGTCTGTAACAGCACAGTAGATGTGAACTGCCAAAGAGCTGTACTGCATGTGAATTCCTCCAACTGTTTTGTGGCCCTCATTCTGGGGTAGATCTAAATGTATAAAGTAGTATTGAGTGTTGAATATTGCATATATACTCTTATACACTTGTATTGTATCAGTAATTGTATTGAATTGCATGATATAGAGTATATTATGAAGAATTATAATTAAATTGGTGGTTCTTTGTGTGATATGGTATATCAAAAATAAATTCTAAATTACTAACTAATATTAATGCATGTAGTGCAATAATTTAAGTGGCATTGACCTTAATGGAGAGTCATGTCTAACAAGGTAAGAGTCACTATTAAAAGCTTTTCTGGAAAAAAGCTGTTTTGCTCTTGTGGAAAAGTAGGGAATATGTTGACTTTTCTTAACCCTCCCTGTCATTCTTCATATAGTTTTCTCACGGCAGACAGTGAACAGATAGTGGAGGTAGCGCTCCTATACACTGTGTTTGTTTATTCCAGCAGCTCACTGTGCCTGACACTCAGTCATGGTTGCTTTGTCACACGCTCAGTATGCTTCTCACATCGGCGTTTCTTTATGGCATCTCACCTTGACTCTCGCCAAGTTCCCGTCTGTGACAGAAGTCATTTTTCTGTACTCCAGTTTTTTGAACCTGCATTGAAATTCATTCCCTGTCTCTGATTCCTGTTTTTTTCCTCTGCAGATTCTCCATCATTTGAAGGCCCCCCTGCACGGCCTTTTCCTGAGCAGGCGTGTTTTTTTTTTTCTTACCATGCAGACCCCTGGAGCGCTTTACCGCCTGTAGTGACGTCCACTTCTGCGTGTTGCCATGTATACGTCCGGTGCGGAGTTGGGATCCGTGGCTGCGGAGAGGCGCAGACCAGGCCCTGCGCTGACCCCTGACGACAGAGACATATGGAGGGACCCCGGGCGCATGGGCTGGAGAGAGGCCCGAGACAGCGGCGTGGTGCAGAGCTACAGCTTCGACTCGTATCAGCTGGAGGAAGAGGAGATGAGCAAAGACGCCCCTGAGCGAGGAGTGCTGGCTCTGTCTGAACCTGGTGAGGGCCCATTTATTACAGCCACACGAACCATGCAAACGTTTATATTCAGAGGATTACATCCAGAGGCGAGCAGAATGAAACAGACCTGAGTTTATGTAGAATAGATGAGAATGCTGCAGGAAGAGAAAATTGCCTTGTTGCCAGGTTACTCCTGTTGCACAAAGGACAAGTTAATTTAATCAGTAGTGACCAGCTCCTGGGACCTTAAAGAGTCTGGCAACAGAGACCTATTACCTGTTTCAAGTTTGTCCTCAGCTTATTCAGCAAAAGGTCTGAGCTGGAACTGCTTTATGGACAAAACAGAGTATGCAAATTATACCTTGGCCTATATTGAAAGAGAAAGATTCCACAAATAGCACAAAGTAGGCCATTTCTTTTGGAAGAAGAAACCAGAGGAGTCAATTTAAGGTGAGATCTCAGCTAAAAGCGGTGGCACAGTGAGCTTATACTGTTGTGAATGATAACAGAGATGTCTTCTTTATTGGATTTTGTGCTAATGAGGTTTGAGTTAGTGCAGGGAATGATTCTGTCTGTAACCACGACAACCCTTTCTGTTGACTGCGCAGAATCAGCTGCTGCGTAAACAGAACAGGGCGCCATGTTGGTCTGTAATATTGTCAGTGTGTTAACGAGAACTCAATGGACAGCTAGTCACGTGTTTGTACTGTATGTACAAGGACAATGCATTGTTAAGGTAGATCTATATTTCTTTATTTTGATTGTATAGGCTATGTATTCATTATCAACATAAATGACACACACACACACACACACACACACACACACACAGGTCCAGCACAACACCAATTACAACTCCAATCAAAAATAAAAACTCAAACAGTAGTCATATTCCACTGCCGGAGAGACAGGAAGATGTAAATTGTTTAATATTGAGTCATAGCCTGTGTATCTTGACTTGGATATAAAATACTGGAGTAAAATACATGTGGTTGTCCCCATCAGAAAGAGTCTGAAAGAGAGCTTTTAAACAAAACAGATCGCAACATCTTATTAGATGTTGACTTTGGCTTGGAATGTTTCCGTTTACATTTGGCTCAGAAATTAGATGCTTGGAATTATACAAAATGGGTCCTAACCAACCCGAGCATCAACACCTAGAGATGGGTCCCCCGGCTGCACTGCGGGTCTGATGGGTCAAATGTAGAGGACAAATTAATAAATTATATCTTTAAGAAGAAAAAAAATGTCACCAATGTTGTGGGTAACCTCAAAATGTATATTACTTATTGAGGAAAATGACAATATATGCAAATGTCACAGCAGAAGACATTTTTATTGTTGATTCATGTTGATGCGGCCAGAGTTTTTACAGCAAGACAAGTTTTTTTGTATAGCACAATTCATACAAAAGGCAACTCAAAGTGCTGCACAAAATAGTGTTCACATAGATAGATAGATAAATAGATAGATAGATAGATAGATAGATAGATAGATAGATAGATAGATAGATAGAAGATAGATAGATACTTTATTGATCCCTGCAGCAGCAAAAACATGAAACTGATCATTCTAAACAATAACAATAGTAATAATCAGCAACAGCCCTTCAGGTCACAGCAGCAGAGATGGAGTAGATGGAAAAGTACTGACTTCTGTTGTGATGACCAGACCAGATTTTACACAAAAATTACACAAAAAGTCTCATAAACTATCCATATTATTTGTCTTGTTCTGATTCACCTGCCTCTGTCTCTTGAGGGCATCGTGTTTTGCCCACCAGTTAGTAAACCTATGATTTGAAATAACCGTGTACTTACTCCCTGTGAACAAATTGTAACTGACGGAATGTTTTAGTCGAGTCAGACGAGACATTGAAATCATTTAAAACCATTTAGAACTGGCTCAGAGGATTAGGAGCGGATTACGAACGTCTTCACAAAGCACCGACACATTACACATTCCGCGGCACAACCTACACTTCCTGTATTTCTTTAATGGAAAAACCTTAACGCTCCGGCTTTTCTCAAAATGTCTCCTAGCATTTTCCTTATATAAGCTCCTATAGTTGCCTTCACAAATCTCTGACCTTTCGCTGTTTCCCGATCCAGACTTCGAGGAGCCGATCCCAGATGACCGTTACCATGGCATTTACTTTGCAATGCTTCTGGCCGGAGTGGGGTTCCTGCTGCCCTACAACAGCTTCATCACTGATGTCGACTACCTCCATCACAAGTTTGAAGGTATCCGAGCAATTGTGAAGATACTGTAAAGGGACATCCAAAAGGCATCGTGTCCATTTTCCACATTTGTTGTTTTTTTTAGACGTTTTCTTAACACAAGATTTGCCAATGGGACTTTAATGATGTTTGAATGTTCCACAAGGGACATTATTCTGTCACTGCAGCCCAAATAAATTCTTCAAAAATACAATTATACACAAAAGAACAATGCTTTTCACACATCCACAATACAGTGAGATACTACAATATAAAATGTAAGGTTTTTTCAGAGATTTGATGTGAGACAGACTAAAGGTGGAAGTCTTTATTAGAGATGGCAGATAACAGAAATAAATCAAAGAAAGATCGCTGTATACCTGTACTGTAGTGTCATCACTGTCAATATTTTCACCCAAAGATAATACTTATTACTTCAATGTTCCAGATGCATCTATGGATTTATACTTTGTAATTCTTAAACCAAATAATACTTTGTTGAAGCAGAGTATACATATTTTTACACTTTGAGGTTTATTAAGATAAAGATAAAGCTTTTTATCTTTTTATTAAAGTATATAATTATGCTGTCCTTAATACTCACTTATTTTGTGTTGTGCTCCTCAGTCCTACTGTTCTGTTCCCTGTGATGCAACACGGAAATTTCCTCACCATGAGATCTCGTAATCCTAGTCTTAATCTTAGAAAGTGTCCTGGATTGTGTAGCAATTCCTCTCCTTTGGTGCAAAAAAAATTGATCATTTATCATTTTTGCAGTGGAATTTGTTTTATAATCGAAGAGCTAAAACAGATTTCTACATACATTTGCAGTGACTGTATCGTGGCGGTTGTTTGAACTTTATCAAAACCAAAATTGCAAAACAAATCATAACCACAGTTTATAATAAAAACGACAGATATTTGCAGTTTGTAATCGTGAGAGTTGTGCTTCACAGGGACGTCCATCGTGTTCGACATGAGCCTGACGTACATCCTGGTGGCTCTGATGGCGGTGATCCTCAACAACGTCCTGGTGGAGCGACTGAGTCTGCACACCAGGATCACCGTGGGTAAGGAGAGCTGTCCGCATTTTAGCCTCGACCATGTGGTGGCGCTATTTCCAAACACAAATCTCCATAAACGACGATACATCCAGAACTCTGCCCCCGCCTGCTCACCCACACCCGCTCCAATCCAATCCACTTTTTTTATACAGCACATTTAAAAAAAACATGTTTCCAAAGTGCTCCACAGATAAAAGTAACACATCAAATAACACACTTTAAATAAAAGCAATTAAAATAGAATAAAAAAATTATCTATATGCATAAATAAACTGAATAATAAATTAAATAGAGGACCCCACAACTCACGCAGTGTTAAAAGCCAGAGAGTAAAAGTGGGTCTTAAGACAAAAATTTACGAGTTTGTTTCAATGAGGGAGCTGTTTTTGACGGAGAACACATCACCCCCGTCCTCAAACAACTCCACTGGCTCCTGTTCCATACCACATCCAATACAAGGTCCTCCTCCGTCATCACTGTCCCACCCGCCGCCTCAGATCCACAGACTCCAACCTCCTCACTCCCCTCAGGGCTAAGCATCGAAACACCTTGAGAGACCGAGCCTTCGCCGCATCTACCCCCTCTCTCTCGAACTCACTCCCACAATCAATCAGAAACTCCCACTCACTACAGAACTTTAAGTCACTTCTCAAAATCTACCTCTTTCATTTTGCCTTTCCTTAATTTTGTTCTTCAAAGTTTACTTTTGTATGTTTTGTAAAGCGTCTTTGCGTGTCCAAAAAAAGCACTATATGCTGTAAGTTTGATATCATTGTTATTATTATTTTCCCGTTCACACATTTCCCTTATGAATTCTAATACAGCTACACTCACGCTAACACACTTTTCACCCCCTACTCGGATTGAGACACATGTGGAGAGAGAACAGAGGATGTGAGAGTGCTGCTAAAGGTGTGGAAGTGAAGAGTCAAAGAACTGTGCTGCCAATTAGTCTCTATTTAAACAGTGCTGCATCTTCACAGCTTTTAGCTCATGCCACAACCCCCCTCCTCCCCATCACCACCACCTCAACAATGACACAATCTCTCAATGTCCCCTGGGGGATTTCACTCATCTCAATTTGAATTCTCCTTGCATGCGTCATGTGATATTTCTTCTGGGGTCTCCACACTAAACACCATATTAACATGCTAAACCAGTCTATAATCCAGGCTGCCAGGTTTGCAAGACATTATCATCTTTTGCAAAGGGGTCTATAGTGTTCTCTATAAACATATGTCTATGATCATCATTCTATACCATTATGTAGATGTGAGCTGGTGCTAAATCATGCAGCAACAAATTTACCAGCAAACATAACTCAATAATCATTCACACATGGCATAGTGGTGCAGTGGTTAGCAAGAAGGTCCTGGGTTTGATTCTACATCCAGATGGGGAGGGGTTTGCATGTTCTCCCTGTGTTTGCATAGGTTTCCTCTGGTTTCCCCAACCACTAAAAACATGTACAATAGATCTAGCATGCGCCTCCTGTTTAGTGACCTGCTCTCATCACTGTGTGGAGTGAGAGGAGAAATGACAATTGTAAAGTGTTTTATGTTAATGTGAAATGTGTTATATAAATAACTTTCTTACAAACATCCTTGTCTGAGTCTTTCCAGATTTAACTAATTAAATGTGGTTGAACTTATACATAAGAGAGACAATTATTCAGGTGAACATTTTAGTGTGTCCAGATGTCTACTTTCCACAATGTCGCTTTTGACGGTGTTTAAAATGTCTCTAGAACTCATCAATTTGTGCTCAGTGCCAAAGCTACAGCTCTGCTCAACCCACTCAAAAATAAAAAAAACTTCTTTTGGAGGCACAAGTGTAAAATATGTATGCTCCCTCAGGATATGTTTGATATCTGCACTTGTACAATCAGTGTTTCTGCGCTCTAGTATTGAAATAACTACAGCTCCATCCTTGAGGAGATTTCTTTTGAAGTGTGTTGTCTGCACCACGCTCGTCTCTGGGATAAGGATTGTAGTGGGCGCTAGTTAAAAGCAATACTTCTCATGTGTCAGCCACGTCAGATTTCCTTCAGTCACACAGATGAGACATAACTTGCTTAAAGACGCTTTATTTTTCCCAGACATTTGTTTTACACGACCCGTAGAATTGATCCAAAACAAATCATTCATGTAGAAAACTGCCTCCTCAGGTTTGCCGCTGTCGGAAAATGTTGATGTGACATTTTGAATCGTACTCATGGGAAAAGCACGATCCTCATTGGCTTTCTATGTAATGGAACATTTGTGGACGTGAACAAGATTTAACTAAAAAGTTGATTTGAATTGTCAAGTATTACAGCAATTCCATTTATTGCTCCCTTTTTTATACCCAGATTTTAATGAGAGTTTTAAGCTCTATACTTGTATGCTGCTCTGTTTTAACATGAAATGATTGTATATTTCATTGACTGTATTTGTGTTTTTAAATTGCTCTTGTGAAGCACTTTGAATTGCCTTGTACACAAATCGCGCGATACAAATACATGATTGATGGATTGATTGATAGTAATGCATGAGTTTTTATCACTGAACTCATGAATGTACAGTAATTGAATGACAGAACTGTAGAAGAGGGAAGGCATTGTAACAACTGTTAATGAACATAGTCTTTACATAATTAATCCCATTTGGTTCATGTGCTTTTCTGTCTTTCCTTTGTCCAGGTTACATCTTTGCTCTGGGGCCACTGGTCTTTGTCAGTGTTTTTGATGTCTGGCTGGAAAAGTTCACCACAAGACAAGCGTACATCATAAACTTAGTGTCCGTGGGGGTGGTGGCATTCGGATGCACAGGTACTTGCACACTCAGCACTGAGATGCCCTTAGCAGTTGGTCAGTTACTGACCCAGGATCACTGGAGTCCTTACCCAAACCTTTACCCTATTCTTATCTATAACAGTAACCCTAATAAGATAAGATAGACTTTATTGATCTCACACAGGTGAAATTTACATGTCAGATCTGGCATGGATAGAATCACTCAAGATTTGTGCAAAGACAGAAGTGTGCAAACATTTTAAATGCAGGATATATTATGTACAATAAAAAGTGGCAATTAAAGAAACAGTGGCAATAGTAGTGCAGGGTTTTTCTTTTCTTAGTGAACCCTAGCCCTAACCCTACTCTAACCTTGACCCAATGAAACATCGATCCTGGACAAACAACTATGACATTTATCCTGGATTTGTGGATGGGTGCTGTACAGTCATTTATTTGTGGATTGTACCCGTCTCCGTCTCTCAGATTGCCCTGTGTCCCAACAGTTGCATATTCAGATTTTATAAAGAATTATACCATATTGTCATGATGCTGAGTACGTAGGTACTGATGTAATCTGATGTCTGGGAATTGTTTTGATTGAGAGAAATTCAAATCCATCAGAAAACAGCTGCTTTCATTTATCCTCGAGTCTGCGAGGTTCGCAAGACCTTATCATCGTTTGCAAAGGGGTCTATAGTGTTCTCTATTAAGTCACGCACACAGCACAAAGAGCTACTAATTATTTAATATCTGAAATACCCGCTAAAACAATAGACTGCAGCTGAACACAGTGTTTCAGGGTCCCTCGTCGTTATGTAAATTAGAGATTGGAAATAGAATGAAGCAAGTACGTGTGCAGAGAGGAGTTTGACCATGGGATAAACATGTCGAAAATAATGATTATGTATTTCCGCTTGCAAGCGAAACAACCTTCCACGCCATTCATTCAAATCAGTACTTAGCCGAGCAAATACAAAATGTAAGCTTTATCAATTTAGTTCTACCATTAATTAACTACACAACATAAAAGTGCTTGGCTCTCTTGTGGAAGCGCTTAGCCTCAAATGCAAAACATTTTCCAGCCCCTCGTTGAATACAAACAAGGCCTAATGTGTTGATGGTGTTAGAATCAATAGCAGCGCAGGTACAACAGGCTCTGGTGTAGGTTCCAGGGGGCTGTGGGAGCCTCTATGGGGCCTGCTAATGACTTTGATATTGTCCCAGACTCCTGACGCACCTTCCAGTCAACACTACTTTTTAATTATCTGAAGCTGTGGCGTCTTCTCTCTTGAGCTTTGCAACTTGTGTCTAAAGAGTTGTGTTGACTGTGTGTCCTGTCTGTTCACATACTCTTCCTCTTGTCTCCTCAGTGCAGCAGTCCAGTTTCTATGGTTACATGGGGATGCTTCCCAAGAGGTACACGCAAGGAGTGATGACCGGAGAGAGTAAGCACACACACAGACCCACACACACACAGACACACACCGGCACACGCACGCAGGCACAAACGTGCATTATACTGTACATATACACACATGGAGACACACTTACACACATAGCACACACACATTTTTAATAGAGTGATTGTTTTCTAGTGCTTTTCTTTTACATTTATAATCAATAATTGCACCAGGTGCCGCTTTGGATAACAAACAGCTGTTGTGTCTTTTATCAAAACCCTCAAACCATGTTTAAGTGTTTGAGTCTGGTGTGTGTGTGCGTGTGTGTGTGTGCGTGCGTGCGTGCGTGTGTGTGTGTGTGTGTGTGTGTGTGTGTGTGTGTGTGTGTGTGTGTGTGAGTGACTGAGTGTGTGCGTGGAGTGCAAAAAATTGCATTATGCATGATAATTATTGTAGTCACCGAAGTTTTCTTTGGTCAATAACAGACTATTTTAAATCCATCTCCTCCGTCACATTCCACATGTTTACTGTCGTCCTCTGGCACGCAGGCACGGCGGGGGTCATCATCTCTCTGTCTCGCATCTTCACAAAGCTGCTGATCCCAGACGAGCGCAGGAACACGCTCATCTTCTTCCTGGTGTCCATCAGTATGGAGATGCTCTGCTTCCTGCTGCACCTGCTCGTACGCCGCTCACGCTTCGTGCGCTACTACACCAGCCTCGCTCAGGGCAAAGCGGCGGGCAAAGGTCATGACCCGCGAGACAACGGCACTGGGTACAGGGTGCACCATGACGTCACAGCAGAGGAAGTGCGATTTGTAAGTCTGCAATATACTGCTTTATACTGAATATTCTTATGAAATGGGTGCGCTGTCGGGGTTTATTTATGGATCAAGCACCATTACACTCACACACACACACACACACACACAAACATGTATGGACATTTAGCAACATGTGTTCCATATTCTTTTTTTGTCTTAACTGTTGATTCTCTGATCTGTGTTGGTGATTTCAATGGTTTTGTTAAGTTCTCTGTGATAACTACTGTTGTCATTCAGGGCTATACAAGAATACATTGTATTGTATTGTATTGTATTAGTTCATCTTTATAGGAAGATAATGGTATATGGTCGAATTCAGTGCAACTACATTTTTCAACTACCATTAGAAAGTTATTTTTTGTTTCTATAAAAACCTATATCTGTGTTTCTTATTAAAATAATAGTGATATTTACACAGTATTTACTGTAATAGCACAACAAACACACATTCCCATTAAAACAAGTGGCTTTTGTCATTTAATAAAACATAGCATGTATTGGATATATATTCAGATTTATAGTTACAAATTTTGATTTTAATATTTAGATTCATCTTCATAAATTAAATACAAAAAAATGCATCAAAAGTGTTTTAACTTTTGTTAAAAGGAGGCAGAGAATTAGATAATTGTTCAAAAGCCCTTGCTTTTATTGAGTCATATTTTTATCATATTGTAAAAATATCATCATCATCATCATCATCATCATCAAACTTAGTACGGACTCATGGTCCAGGATAAGACAAACATGTCTCATAAAAAAACAATTTAAAAGGACATTCAAAAGTCCTACATGTTGAAATACATCGTATCGTGCCACGTTTATCGAGATATGTATTGTATCGGCTCTGAATGAGACCCAGCTCTGCCGCCGTTATCTTCAGGACGACTGTCATCATTTTGGCCTAAACATAAATATTCCCTGGATTTATAAATGTGGACCAATATTTACAAACTGTGATGCGTAATGCGAAAGGATGAAGTTTAACCTAAAGATAATGTTTCTATTAATTGGAACTGTGTGGGAGTGTGTGACATGAGGCCTTCAGGCAGTATAAGTATAAGTATTTATAAGTATAAGTATATTTGCATGTCTTAAATGATGTGTTGCTCAGGAGTTTGTGTTTTTGAATCTGCGACTGAGAAGCTGAGTGTTTGTTGTGGGTGTGAGGAGACGCAAGCAGAGACGCTTGTACCAGACTTATCAAATGAAAGTAGTACTGTCAACTCATTCTGCACCGTTTAGCAATTTTAAGTTTTGGAAGTTGTATTTGGACCGAACATATGTAACAAATGCCCGAAACCTCTTCAGGAATGTTTATGAAGTTTGGGGTAAATTTATTTATTTTTTAAACTGAGTCCTACTCCAAATTAATATGTCAATTATGTAATATGGAATTCCGTTTTCATGTGGTAAAAGGTAAAAAGCAGAGGGGGTTGAGCAGCACATTAAGGTCAAGTGTACAGAGCAGCCTGAGGAGTTGTTGATGAGGGCCTTGTGCTGTTGCTATGCTACGATTCCCCTCAAACACGTACCCTGCTCCAGGGGCTTCAAAGGCACACGCTGCACCTCTGCTCTCTTCATCTGCCTCTGTTTGTTCACCACTACACCCCGGAGCCGCTGATCGACAGCTCAGTGTGTGTGTGTGCAAAGATGTATATGGGGTTTGATCCAGGCAGCTCTTTGTACTGGTTGCCGGGGGAGACTGAGGCGGTGCTCTACGTTATGGGATAATCAAGAAGAGTGGTGCCTTCTGGCCCCGAGTTCTCTCTAATCAACTAATGGATCTGTGTGTGCGCCGAGAGGCGGAGGGGCTGGAAATAGAAGCACAAATGAAAGGTTCTGTACTCTCAGTCGTTAGGACACTGTACATGTTAAAGTGAAGAGGGCTTTTTACAATCATCCATGCTACATCCATCTGCTATTCATATCTACAGCATGTGTCAATCCCAGTTCTCAAATACAGTAGTATTCAAGTACTGATGTCACGCTGTCAGGAAGCCGGTCGTGCATACAAGGTGCGTTGCGAGTCTATAGCTGCTTGTTAATAATAATAACAATGTAGTCTTATATAGTGCTAGTTTGGACACTCAAAGACTCTTCACATGGCATTATTCTTTCACTCCGTACACAGTGGTGATGAACTAATACTGTAGCTTCAGCCGCCCTGGAGAACGCTGACAGAAGCGAGGCAACCAGCATGTACCATCTGCCCCTCTGACTACCACCAACGTTCATACTTGGCAATGTGGGTGAAGTGTCTTCTTCAAACATACCGCAGCCGTCCCACTGTGACACCTGCTGGTGTTCCCAGAGGTCTCCCATCACACCTGCCCTGCTTAGTTTCTGAGATCTGACAGGATCAGGCTTTCACCTGCAGGTGTTGCTTTAGATTGTTTAAAACTTGTTATTCTACAATAATGAGGAATTTAGAGCTTGAATCTTCTTCTCCTGAGAAGAATCGCCTCCCCTAGATCTAACTCGTAACTGAGCTGAAGACACATCATGCTTGTTTCCAATGTCTGTTGAAGGTTCGACGCAAAACAACACATGAACCAAATCAGAAAGCTGACACTCGTACATAAGGAGGTGTGTCAAACATCTGCTTTAAAAAAAAGAAAAGAAAACACTGTACTGAGCTGATGACGTAGCACACATTCCTGCCTCAGTGTGTTTATGTGAACAGGAGAGAGACACGAGGAGTGTCTTCATATGAATAGGGCTGTTGTCAGAGCAGAGTTTGACTTATTATTTTTACTTTTGAGTTTTAGTAGAAATGGGACACACTTTTATTGTCACTTCCCAGAGTGCTTTGATCACCACGAGTCAAACGCGATGATCTTACACCTTTCCATTAAATCATTTCCAACAGTCATCTATTTGTTTTGCTCCATCAGTTTTTGGTTAAGTGTTAATTACAATAAAAATGTTGTTGATGCAGCTTATATACAGATGCGCATTAAAGTTCAGCAAGTTCTGTATTTTCTGACTGGACCCTTTTTATCAGAAAATTGGGACCATACTCCTGACGCTTGATTCTTTTGGCATGTATTATAGGTACAGTACATTTCTAGAGTTGCATTCGTAATCGCGTTATTGAATTTGAATCATAAAAGTCATTGTAAAAAACAAAGCATGAAAAACACAATACAGTCTTGGTTCTGAGTTTCACGCCAATCAATAATCCTGCTGCTAATGCTAAACTCACCTGGAAATCCCTTGTAAAGGCCAAACCTTTACTCAAAAGGTTAAAGTCACCTCCGCTCCTTCCTCAAACACTTCCACCGTCTCATGTCCTTAAACGTCCACTTTTGAGGCAGTCCTTTATTATGGTCTTTTCACATCAAAGGATCCGACTTTTAAAGAGATACTTTGAAGCATGTCCCAGAGGCAAGCAGGTTCTTCAACTGTAACGTTCTGTACTTTTAAAAATATATATATTTTTATGTTAAACGTGAAAGTTGTCCTTGTGCCCGCAGGGGAATGGAGTGACAATGCCCTCGGACAGACAGACAGAAGAAGGTGTGGATGACTTTGGAGGAGGAACTTATGTACGTTTTGATGCCCCAAAAGCCAACGTCAGGAAAAGCTGGCCTGGACTTCGTGGTACTTACTATTTCACGTTCATTTCTGTAAAATAAATGTGTGTATTTGATTCTAATGTTATTGTTTGTGTTGGCACAGACATGATCTTTCACCGGTATGTGGTGTCGCGGGTGATATGGGCCTATATGCTGTCCATCGCAGTGACCTACAGCATCACACTCTGCCTCTTCCCTGGACTGGAGTCAGAAATACGCAACCCCACGTTAGGAGAATGGCTTCCCATCCTCATCATGGCCACTTTCAATATGTCCGACTTTGTCGGAAAGGTGAGAGAATCCTCATAAAGACGTTTGAAATTAGGGATCTCTTTACATGTTTTTGTTCAAGCTGGGATACCTCACTTTCAAACAATATTTACTTTTTATATCTTGTTACATGTTGCTCTCAAAACTGTAACAAAAATCTAGTTGTTAATTAATATATAAGGCAAAAACCAAATAGGTATAAAAGCGGACATTTTATGACACTAAACAGTTACAATATACTGTGCATACAGAGACAACATAGAATAAACAAAACAATAAAACAAAATAAAGGACACAAGACAAGACATTATTATTATTATTATTATTATTATGTTCAAGATAGATATTTTATACTTTTTTCTTTGATGCTAGAGTTAGAGATTTTGTTTTATTCTAATTAGTATAGCTATTGTTCACTTATCTTGTGCTGTGTGCTCCTCATTCCTGCTGTACGAGGAGTATAACCCACATTCAGCCAATCAGCTCCCAGCCCAAACTCACCAGCCTCTTTCTCACAGACACAAAACACAAGTTTTACATTTGTGACATATTTGATTTGTTGACATTTTACTTTACAAGATTCTTTCCGTTTGGACAAAAACTTTAATTATTTTGGCAGAAGGAAATTAGGTACCCCAGCTTTTTGTTCTGCTCAGGTCTACAACATTTTGAGGAATTGGGGGAAAAAATAATAATATATACTGTATAATATAATACAAAATATAAGACCGATACACATGTGTTCACATTCACATTTAGTTGTGAATGTGAACACATGTTATTGTTATTACAAAAGCACACTGGTATCTATGTCCACTGACGCTTTGATAAGAAAAGGAATGCTTCCAGAAGTCAGGACGAACTGGGAATGACACTGGTCCACAGCAGCTGGGCCAAGTGATAAAATTGTTGGCTTGGTACATATTGACAGTGGCGCATTTATTGTTATTGGACAGTTACCAATAGAACAGCATCACAGAATTAGAAATATGTCATTATTATACAGTAAAGGTTACTGCCTAACTCTAAAAGATGTTCTCTGCCGCTGCTGCAAATGCACATTCAATACTTGCACATAATTAAGTAAAAACGGCCTTCTTGAACCGCGTCTCTTCCGCTGTGAGGGAGCAGAGCGTGGTCGACCTTGAGAAGGAAAGCCAGTCTCCATAAAGTCAGAATATGTCGCGTCATTTAAATAATCAGGAATAAAGCACTATCTGCAGCCCTTGGGTTAAATTGGATGTTGAGGAGAAAAGCATGGCTGAATGAGGGTTTTGGTATAAGCTTTGACTTTGCCTTCATGCCCAATTTAGCATTTTGTTGAAAAAAAGAGTGAGATAAGATGGAGAAATGAACTGGAAAATAGGGAAGGAAAATGAGGCTAGTGAAGGAGTCAAAAGTAAGTTGAATTTACAGAGAGTGCAGAGTGTCATGTTCTTATGTTGTGAGACAAAACTGCAACTACATCAAAGCGGTTTATTCAACTATTGTTCATCTTTTCATTAGTAGCATGCAATATTATTTTATGACAGTTACTTTTTAATTACAGTACTTGCTGGACAATTAAGCGCACTTGTGTAGAATAATCGCACCAGTGAAATTTGAAGAGAAAGTGCATTTGTCCACATAAAGGCCGCACTTGAATATAAGCCACGTGTTGTACTGTGACACTTAACCAACAACTGATGAAGCAAAACAAAGCACTCTGATCAATCTAATCTATTTTGACAATTACTTTCCAACTAAAACGTGATTAAGTCCATAAACTCTGCTCTGACAAAAGCCCTAGTCACATACAAACTGTATATATCCCTAACATTAGCCTCGTGTCTCTCTGCTGTTCACATAAACACACTGAAGCAGGAATGTGCACTACGTCACCAGCTCTGGAGATTAATAGCTTCCTTCAACCCAGGGGGCCCTCTAACAAAAAAGAAATCCATTAATCGGCCGTATTGCTTTATGGACTGCAGAGTTAGTCTCTTATAGTACTGTAAAGGTTTTTTGGAACATTATCTAGATATTGTACCAGAGGTGGCAAAAATACCTATCTTTAGTATAATCGATTAGAGTATAAAATCTACTTTAGTCAAAGTATTGAAATCATTCCCTCACTTGAGTAAATGCTGCATGTAGTAACGTCAAACAGTAAAATACAATTTTGAAACAGCATTATACCATTGTAAAGCTCTTTCATACTGTCAGAGACTATGACAATAAACAAAACATGTAGAACTTAGAAGCAGGGCTAACCAAAATTAATTGGATTAATTCGATGCATGGCTGACCACCTTAAATGTTTTTTTAATGTCATGTTGCCCCTCTGCAAATTAACTCGTCAATTAAATGTAAAGAAAAGACAGATATTTGTGTTAAAAGGTGAGGAGGACAGGTTTAAGGTCGTCAGGAAAATAAGCAGTAAGGCAAGGCAAGGCAAGTTTATTTATAGAGCTCAATTCATACACAAGGCAACTCAAAGTGCTGAACAAAACAAGAAAGCATTAAAATCATAAATAATCACAGAACATTAAAAAGAAAGATAAAAATATAAAATCCCTCAGTTGTATGCACAGCTGAACAGAACTGTTTTTAACCTGGTTTAGTAAAGTAATTGCTGTAAATAAAATATAGTAAAAAATACTTGTCACCACTGCTAGATACATTTTGTTCAGGTTTTTAGGTCCATGAGCAAGACATTTTCCACAGAGGGAGTAGAAACAGCCCCATAGTAACAAAAAACACATTCTGGAGTCGCTTATTTGAATAGTGTGTATATAGCACATGTTTGACAGCAGATGTGTGATTTGTGCTGACTCTGATACACACTTCTTGCACATTTCATGCACCAGAAAATACAACGTCTTTATTATGTTAGAGCCGGAGATTTTTTATGCTTAATTCTTGCCTCTTTATTATGCCAAAGTCGGAGAGTATATACTGACATAGTTAGAGATTTCATTTGATTTTAGTGTAGAGTTATGGTTCACTTATATCTTGTGCTGTGTGCTCCTCATTCCTTCTGTGCTGTAACTGGTGATGCAACACTGACATTTCCCCCACTGTTAACCTCTTCATTTGTTCGCTGGGTGCAGATTCTGGCCGCGGTGCCGTACGACTGGTCTGGGGGCCGGCTGCTGTTCTTCTCCTGCCTCAGAGTGGTCTTCATCCCTCTCTTCGTCATGTGCGTGTACCCGGCCAGGGCCCCCACCCTGTCGCACCCTGCCTGGCCCTGCCTCTTCTCTCTGCTCATGGGCGTCACCAACGGCTACTTCGGATCAGTGCCCATGATCCAGGCGGCGGGGAAAGTGCCTCCGGAGCAGAGAGAGCTGGCTGGTACGCAAACACACGTTGTTCTAGTTAGACCAAGAGGAATGTGCCGTTTGTGAGTTGGTTATGTTTATATAAGTGAGTAAGTGTTTGTTTCAAAGTTACATTTTACATACAGCATAACAAAACAAACAATTGAAAAGGGGTTAGACGAAGCAGATTGGGTTTTTTCAGCGTCACCAGCTCTGGAGATCGACAGCTTCCTCCATACGGCCAATGTATGGATTTCTATCATGGCCGCATTGCTTTGTGGGCCGCAGATTTAAAAGAACTTGAAAAAGGTGGTGGCTTATAGTCTCTTATAGTAAATTGTTTTTTTTTTGTATTAACAAACAATGCTGATCTAAATGAGGATGCATTTTATTGACTCATTTGACTAAAAATAGTAAACCTTTTTATATTTATTTGATGTACTTATTTCACTTCACCACAGATATCGAATGCATTACATTTTGTGTCAAAAAGTGACACAAAATGACACAAGTGTCAAAAAGTGCATAACTTTTTTTTATCCAACATTGCATAAATGAAAAAAACATGCCTAGAACAGAGGAAGTTATTGAGTTTTCACGTAATAATAAAACATAAAAAGGAGACATTTTGCAGAGTTGACCTTTTATACAACATTGTTCCTCATCGGCCACAGACCTGGAGATGCTTTTAGATCCATCCACGCAGGAACTTCTGGCACAATCACATGACTCCGCCCCTTGTGTCTAAAAGCTCCCGTCTCAGTCCTGTAAAACTATGACATCACACTCAGGCAGGTTTCAGTTTAAAAAAACAAAAGTCTTGCTTCTAAATTAGTTTTTTTTAATTCTCAGGTGAGTTTATGATTTGTGATGTTATTTCATTCTATTGTGAAAAGTCCTTAATTGTTGTTAAAACATATTATTTATTAATGATTGCTGTTTACAATCACATATCCGTAGTCATTTTTGAATTACAAAATAAAAAACAAAACCCTTCTTCCCTCTGGTGGTAGCAGAGGGAGTTACTTTCACCATATATTTCAGATTCTAACACATTGTAGTTTGATTATTATTTGCAATGGCCTAAAATAATGCACAATATTTCTTTATTTAGCTATATTCGACAAAGTAAGTAAGTTAGCACTGTTTATTTATATAGCAAATTTTACAGACCCAAAATAATATAAACATGAATACAACGGAGCTCACTCATGAAAAAGTCCAGAGAGACGATAAATATTGAACCAAACTACACAACTACTGCATATTTTTAATGGATCATGAGTTGATTTAGTAATGATGATGACAGATTTTCTTTTTGATCAATCCGGCTTTTATGCAGGTTTGCTAATGAAAGACTTGGCTCCAGCTGAGTTTTGTCATTAGTCACTTTTATAAGGTACTGTGATGTCATCTTTTACATTCTATCTGCCTCCTCTGTGATTAGAGGGCGTTTGCACCTTCCGCAGTTGTAGGAGAGTGAATGGACACATGAGTGAAAATAGAATATGTTTCTCTTGTTTTTCTGTTTACCTTTGTCAAGAACTGTTCTTTTCTCTGTGTCCGTGTTGAGTGTTCATGAGTGGGCTTCCTTGTGTTGATTTTTATATTATTTATTTGTATTATTCTGGGTCTTTGCGTGACCTTGGTCTGTAAAATACGCTATAGACATTACTATATTTTTGGCCATTGCAAATAATAATCAGACAATTGTCATGTTTTAGAATGTGAAATAATATCAACAAAAAATATGAAATGAAAAAAGTATCAAAGGTAGATAATACTTTTCGCCTGTAACTCCCTCTGCTACCACCAGAGGAAAGAAAGTTTGTTTATTTTCAAATTAAAAAAATACTGGCTGCCAACACTGTCATGTGCTTGTAGAGAACAGTCATTAATAAAGAACAATCATCAATGAATATTATTTGTTGCACAAAAGAGACTATATTTTTTAACCCTTTGACGTGTGTTTGCATATTTCCTATGTTTTTCACAACCTGCGTGATACTATTTATGCCAAATGTCTCGGCCCATGGGTTTTTATGTTCACCTTGTTCACAAACAGTTTTTTTCTCTGTGTTGCTGCAGGAAACACCATGACAGTGTCGTACATGACAGGCCTCATGGTGGGCTCAGCTGTGGCCTACGCTGCCTACAGCTTCACTGCTCCAGGATCAGGGACACGGCTGCAAACTCTGCACCCTCTGAACGCTACAGGCTTCTGAAGTCACCCGCGGGACAAATACAATACCACAGCATTTACTGTGAGAACGTCCGACTGCAGCCAAACCTGAGGCCGATGTGACCCAAAGAAAGAAAAGAAAACACCTCCTCTTTCATTTTACATTTTTGTGCAAAAGGATTTCTAAAGACAGAAGCCTCACTGTCATATTTGTGTGGACTCTGGATTACCCATGTACAGTAACATGGAGCGACTGTGGCAGCAGCATCAGCAGAGCGCAATGAAAGAAACACTAGCCAAACGACTAAAGAACGCTACAAAAGAGATTATGAGCTGCGTTTACGCTGATTACATCTGTGAGAAGAAAACAAGTTGTAGCCTTGAACTAATTTCAGTAGCAGACGTTAAAGTATTTATGTGGGTGTTGTTTGCAACCAAAGATATAATTTTTTCTCAAATTACAATGTTACAAGTTTTATTGGGACAGCATTGTATTAATGTAATACATTTTCAACATGGAGTTTTTCAAACAAAATCTCCCTTCAACAGTTTATGTGTAATATCTTTGTCCCAGAAGGTTAAAAGAAAAACCAAAATGCGAAATGTGGCTAATATGTAAAAACACATGTACAGCTGAACAGGAGAATGTAGGTCAACATCAAACACTTTGTAAATACACCATTAAGTGCACTCACTGCAGTGACAAATTTGTAAAAAATAAAATAATATATTTCATTATTATGTAGCTTAAGATCATGCATATTGTTTAAAGGAGATCCATCCCTTAGTGGAAATGATTCAAGGAGAAATCTTGGTTTAAAAGTTTGGGGCTGCAACTAAAAAAGTTATTGTATTTATTTATTATTTTCCCAAAAAGAGACAAGTTCAATTATTACTGTAGAATATATGTATTATGGAATTCTCTATGGAGAGACCGTTCACAGACAAAAAATATAACATTTAATTTACATAATCAAGAGACACTTATTTGTATTGTACAAATAATATTTCATAATATTATTTTCAAGCTCGTCAGCATTTTTCCAATGCAGTGTTGCGGCCCTATTATCTAATGAAAGTATTGAATACAGTAGATGACAGAGACTGTGGTGGACACTGTGGGGACCTCATGACTGTATGTGCCATATACATTTGTGCCATTTCTGTCTCACAGTGTTTGGGCCAGAGGGACATGAAGAGTCACTTTAGTCTTTAGTGAAACTATTCTGGGAAAGAGACATGGGTTAAAAATCAGCGTACAGAAGTCCCAGTGGATAGTACCGTGAGAGCACTGCCACTTTCTGCATACATTTATCTTCCTAATGACAGAGAAAAATAAGAAACGAGAACATATAGCTTCTCAAAAGTCCTCCACCAGGGGGCGATATTGGGTCATTCGACACTGAAGACCATTTTGTTTTCAGAACTAGTCTTGTTTGACTTCACAGCCTTAATACATGTGGTTCTGTTTACATTCTACCATCAGGACAATAAACATCACTCATGTTTTAAAATGTGCTGTTGTTTAATAAAGTACAAACTCTTGTGTTTTAAAGGCCACAGATCTGTCTCTAAAGATAGTGACGCAGGAAAGGATACTGTTTACATTTCAATCCAAGTGAATTGTCTCATTTCTATTTCATACCTAATGCATTTGATCCTCAACGTTCCTGTGATACATCCGGGTTCTCTCCATCACACAATCCACACAAACCTGCAGAGGATGGACCCCTCATCCCACACAGACACAACACAAACACAACACAAACATACACACACCACAAATGTCCTCCTGTCATGTGGACATTACCACGTGCTTGAAGTGGTTAGCCGTGTGTCTAAATGCACGAATACATGTGTGAAGTGGTTACCCATGCTTCTGAACGCATTATTACATGTGTGAGTGGTTAGCTGTGCTTCTAAATGCATATAAACAGGTTTGAAGTGGTTAGCAATGCTTCTAGATTCATTAATACATGCGTGAAATGGTTAGCCATGCTTCTAAAGGCATCAACACAGGTTTGAAGTGGTTAGCAATGCTTCTAAAATGCATTCATACATGTGTGAAGTGGTTAGCCGTGCTTCTATATGCATTGATACAGGTTTAAAGTTCACTCAAAGACGCTTCACTTGTCAGTAACACTCCAAACACGGTGGTGATAGACTACTACTGTAGCTGGTGGTCAGAATAGAGTTTCTATCTGGCCTCAGGGTCATACAGGCTGATGATCCAGATGCAGTTATATCGTGGTCCAGCAGAGGGCGCTGTCGGGCTGGGGATCGGCGCACCGCGGAGCACAGAGCTGTTTTAAGAGCCGTGTTCATGTTCGTGTCCAAACCAACTCTCTCCGTCCCTAACTGTTATAAGTCACTAAGCTTTATTACTGACTCGACCCCAGAGCTGAGGATGGAGGAGGAGGCGCCACAGGACCGTGACTGCACATGCTCCGCGCTCCTGTCGTTGATCATGTACTTTTAGACCGCAGAGGGCGCACTGTTCCCGGGTGCAGGTGCCACACATCGGCTAATTTTGGATGTTGCTCCAGGGAAAAAAAGAAAGTCTCCAGCGCAGAATAGAAAAAGTGATCATCAGTCATTCTGCCCCAGAAGCAGTGAGAGGAGGAAAAATAGGCGCAATCTGCGAGGAGGGTGAATGTATGGCTGCAATGACATAATTAAGGCAAGTTGCAAGTATATGTATGTTATGTAAGTATGTATAGTTTTTTATAAAGCGCTTTTTGGACACTCAAAGACGTTTGTATACACTCCCTATACACAGTGATGATAAACGACTCTTGTAGCCACAGCTGCCCTGGGGCACATACAGAAGGGAGGCATCCAGTCTGTGCCATTGGCCCCTCCGACCACCACCAGCCATTTACACAAACATCAAACTTATACTTTCGCCCAAGGACACAACACCAGTCGGTTCTTTACAGCCGCAGCTGCCCCACTGTAGCACCTGGTGTTTCCAAAGGTCTCCCATTACAGTACTAACCAGGTCCTCCCTGCTGAGCTAAGAGGTCTGACAGGATCTGGCTTTCACACGCTTAATAAATTGAAATTCTACTATTGGTTTTCATTCCCATCTACTTTCTGGCCTCTGTCACATCTTTAGATTCAGCTTTTTCTGACAGAAATGTGAAAAGAGAGGACTTCACTCACTCAGCCTCACAAGGCTCTTTCTGACAAACAAGCAAAAGATCACGAGTCATGTTTCATAAAAGGAGGAAGGTGTGGTCTGATTTGTTCACAATATTTAGCTTTGACAAGAGTTTTTCTGTTGCGACAAACAAAATGTAATATATTAAACAAAAAAAGGAAGTACCTCATGCAGGCTCAGCATTAAAATATTGTTTTATTTCAATGTAATGTTTGTATGGCCCTAAATCACAACAGCAGCCTTCTCTGAGGACTTTACAAAGTTGTCAATTCACCAACAACAGATCAGAGAATCAAACAGGATATACAATACTAACAAACATTTAGATGTTGTGGTCCATAAATGTTAATAAAGGCCTTTAAATGTCCTGAATCACTGTCCTTAGAGCATCTGCATCTGTAAGTGCAGAAGTAAACCAGTTCTAATCCATAGCACAGGTGTTTCAGTCCCACATGTTTGCAGCTGGCCCCATCCGCACTCAGCACATTTTACAACCACTCTCCACATTCTAACTGCTTCAGAACACAACAGGAACTCCTATTAATGCATTCCTCTGCACAATATACTCGTCCTCAGCTCGGGGCCATGATTACAAGAATGACGAGACTAAATAAAGCGTTCCATCTGCAAAAGAGGATATCAAATAAAGTGCAGTGGTGTTAGCTGCCACTTTTCTCGTCTTTCTCCAACACACAAACTCCTTGATGTGTGTTTGTGGCGCGTCTCGCTGCTGCCGTCTTTGTACTTCACATCAAGCTTTTGTCAGAAGACGACAGCTCCCAAAATGACTCTGCTTTTTCACTCTGTCATTTTTAAGGAAGCAAAAATTACCACAGCTGTGAAAGAGTGATGCCATCTCTCTCTGTACGGGACACACTGGTCATACAGACGGTTATTCTCTCTCCTTTATGACTTTGTCCACCATAAATACTACATATTTTATACTTTTTAAACCAGGCCTGCGGGTTCATAGTGCCATGTAACTTGAGCACTATCCTCTCCTTCTTTATCTTCATGACTGAGTTTAGATTTTTGTTCCTTGCAGATGCAGGAGGGTTTGTTTGTTTTGTGACACTCAACATTCAACATTTATGGACATTGGTCATCTGCCCCTTATGGACCAATGTGTTTTCTGTTTTCTGTCTTGTGTGTGAACCGTTTGATTCTCTGATCTGTGTGGGCGAGATAACTTAGGGCTGTACAGAATAAATTGAATGGAATTGAGTCCAGCCAACTTCAGCTCTGCCAATATAGATGTTATACCTTGATGGAAAGCACAGAGACTTTATGTTTGTGTTCTAACGTATGTTTTTGATTGTGTTTGATTTTGTGTATGATGCTAATCTCGTTGGTGAGATTGTTGATTTATTTTTACATGGTTTTATTCATTTCGATCCTGTATACTGTATATTGTTCTCCTGTTTGACTTTCTGTCCGTCTTGATGATAGTTTGATGCGTTGCCCCATGTCTTGTCCCTGGTTTTACTTTTTTCTTTTGTATTCAACATTTATTGAATTGAATTATGTTGCAGCAAATCTGACGCACTCTTGACAGTAAATAAAAAATGTGAGCATGCCCTGAAGAAGGTCCTGAAGAAGGTCCTGAAGAAGGTCCTGAAGAAGGTCCTGAAGAAGGCCTTATAAACTCATCAGTGTTCATAAAAGGATTGTTATTTACTGTGAAGATTGCCTCATATTTCCTCCTTTCTCCAACATTTGCAGTGTTTTCCTCACTGAGCACCATAACATAAACTGACCCACTGTGGTGGCGGCGTTCATATGTCTGGAATTTTAGATTATGTTGCAGTTCTGCTTTTGGGTCCTTCCTCGTTTCATCTTGTGACAAAACATTTGTCAACTTCAGCTTCAATATGCACATT